AACCGCTTGGAAACTGCAGCATCATTTGGAAACAACAGTGTTTAGTGTAAAGGATACCCCCTGGAAGCCTGGAGAAGGAAGGAGGCAAACCTCCATGCACAGAAATGGTAGTCCTGCTGCCTGCCAGCATCCCAGTGTGACAGAGACTGGCGCTCTAATGGTGATATGACAGAGGGTGCCCTAAAAAGTTCAGTTGTTCCGGCCAGTTTAATTTGATCCTTGGTTTGTTGGGAGCAGACTACGTTTTGCTCACTGCTTCCTGCACCTAAGTAGAGGTGGAATTTACAAAGGCTGTAAAACCACGCTGTACGGTTAGGGGCACGCGTGCATCATTCTGCAGAGGTTGCAACAATGAGGCAGCAACAGAGAGCACCACAGCAAGCATGACATCCATGACAACATCTGAGATAAACACCCAGCCTCTTCAGGGTGTTCTGCTGATTAAAACGTTAGCCAAAATTCTGTGCAATTACAAAAAAAAATTAATTAAAGACAGGAAGGTGTCTTGGACAGATGCACCAGAAACTCCATGGGCACCAGCCTGTGCAACAGACATGTCCCTATACTGCCTGGGTCTCACTTGCTAAAACAGTAACATTTCATATAGGAACCGCAGCCTGCAGAGCTGAGCTATTTGGAGGTTGCCAGCAGCCACTACATCCCTCAGGTTGCCTTACACGCAGCTTCCTGAGTTCCTGCGGGTTTAACCCACGCCATCACTCCCGGAAAGTCTCCCCGAAGCTACCAACATGGGTACCCAAAGGGAAGCATGACTCAGAGGCCCCAGGGCTTCCTGGCACATGGCCTGGATGCTGACAACTGAGAAACACGCCATGCACAGAAGAGCTGCTGGGAATTCAAAGACAAAAGGAGCTGCAAAAACCTTGCGGCACAGCCAGTGGTATAACCTGGCGTTCTCTGTGTGGGGTAGGAAAACCGGTTCACTCCATGTCACCTATCAGTCAGAGCCAAAGGACTCAACAGTGCTGACTCAGAGGGCAAAGGAAGAGCTCTTATTTCTGGAAGGTCACATCTTCCTGTGACATCGCTTCTGTGCAAGACACCAACCATTTAACAGCAGGAGAAAAATTATATCCATCTTACTCTCCCTTTTGAGAAGATACAGTTCATCAAACAGTTGGACTCAAAGCTCTTTTTCAGGCACGCTCATCCCGATTCTGGTGGCTGGTAATGGCTAAGAGATGCTAATTCAGCACTCTACTAGAAATAGCACGCGCTTTGGTCATGTGTTTCCATACGTAGTTTGCCTTTCTGCTATTTATTATGGTTTGGGAGAAACAAAATAACTTGTACAGTGTTATTCTGGAAGGCATTAGTTGGAGGCACAGCTAACGCAAAGGAAAATGCTGGCTGCGGATGCCTGTGTTCAGAGAGCTCTTGGGTGTGGAAGAGAGGGAGTAATTTAGAGGCTTTTCAATCCAGATAGAAACCACTGGAGTCAGACGCACCAGGAGCTCGGGACTTGACTTGAAGTCAATGAACGCTCTGGTGCTTGTTTTCCCTGAAAATCAGACCGTCTCTCTCTAGTTGGTCTCTAGTTGTCTCCCAGATCTGGCTCTACATATCTATTGGAGCTCCTGTGAAAATACCCGTCTGACTGGATACTCATGCCCTACTGTACTTGGAGCATCTATGGACATGCCTTTGATTACAAGGAGAGGCAATTAGATTAGACAGAAAAAAGAATGATTAAAGTCCTCTTTGTAAAAGCTGCCATCTGTTTATCTACACTTGTTCACAAAGCACCGACCTCAGATTTGGTTTACACTTTTCTCTCATTAAGGGAGTGCAATTTTGGGGTATTGACCTCAGGACCTTTCTCCCTCGGGGCTCTCCCAGACCAAGGGTGGCCATCCAGGTTCAGAAGGCATT